CATAATTTCCTCTGTTTTCCCATCTTTCAAAGAAAAATCCTCAATTTATTTGAAAATGTTTTCATACTTGTATTAACCTTTCATCGAAGGAAAACCTTGCAAAACCATAGCAGTCATGATATAAAAATGTGTCATTATTTCTAATTTTGAGTCTGCCATATCTACTTTGGAAATCTATCACCCTGGTGGTCAGCATTCAGAACTGCAGACTAACTAGTTCGCGGATCAAATATGACCGATCCACGTTTGAGCGCCTGTTGCATAATCCCTGCGGGGAATCTATTCAGTGTCTATTAAGGGATTAGTTCACTATGACGTCACTTAGTGCCGAAAGCCCCATTTTAGGATAGCACATTGCAAGTCTATACTTTGCAGCATTTTCACAGTGGCTTCGAGTAGCAGCTCTCAGTCGTTTGATGATGTAATCATAGTCGATTTCCGATCCTTAATGTTCCTGTCTGAACGCTATTAATGTGTAACTAAAGTTGGGGAACCGCGTTAAGAACAACTGACAGTTATTTATATACAGAGCATAATTTCCTCTGTTTTCCCATCTTTCAAAGAAAAATCCTCAATTTATTTGAAAATGTTTTCATACTTGTATTACGTTTGCATCGAAGGAAAACCTTGCAAAACCATTGCAATCATAATATAAATGTGTCATTGTATTTAATTTTATGTCTGCTATATCTACTTTGGAAATCTATCACCCTGGTGGTCAGCATTCAGAACTGCAGACTAACTAGTTCGCGGATCAAATTTGACCGACCCACTTTTGAACCCCTGTTGCATAATCGCTGCGGGGAGTCTATTAAAGGATTAGACGGCAAGCTTTTAAGTGGGTGGTCATTTTTGATCTGCGGCTCTGAAGGCGGCTTAAGAGTGCATTCACAACCAGTCGATCCGCAAACTAACTAGTCCAAGGATCAAATATGCTGGGTACTTGAATCCCTAACAATAATGTAATCCATAGGCCTACTCCGCCTACCTCAAGAGATTAAGAAGTGGTCTCAGTGAACCTATTTAAATGGGGTGTATCTTCCTGAAAACAGATTAGAATTTATTACCTGCCACCATAAAAGTTAAAAGTATCATACATGTAAGTTATAAATGATAACAACACATACATGTTTACTTCACGTGATTATGAATATTGAGAAACAACGTAAAAACAAGGTTGTAAAGATAAGAATTTGGAAGTTGGATGGTGGACAATCTGTTTCGAGTATCAATAGTTAACCACGAACAAACAGATATTAGAATACCGGAAGTAAAAAGCAGTTACCAAGTACAACTATAAAATTATATTATCCTACCTGATAAGTGAAGCTATACGGTAAAAGTGTGTATTCTAGTGCACACGGTTTAGTCATCTAGCAAACAACCGACAGACACGGCTATCATATGCAGAGGCTTGTGGAATACGTGACAGAAGGCAACACACATACAGTTGCTTCTATATACTGATGTCCTGATCTTAACAGCTCGGTAAGTAGTATAGGTGTATTTTTCGTTCATATGCTGAATATATTTCTTACTTATATCAATAGAAAGGGTAACAGGTGTTTGGTTAAACAAGTGATTGCTGGGTGTCATTTTGTTTCACTTTCAAATAGGTTCACTAATCAGCGTACAGAAGGTAATGACGAACAATGGCGAGCAAAGACATAACTGCTATCTTTGCAAAGACAGGTCTTCAGCACAACCACTGCAATTAAACTGGCAATTAAGAGTGCATCAATTGCTCTTTCTTCACCATACAAACTGATCATTCTTTAACATGCAAACTTTACAACCGTTGTCAAGCAAAGAGGCAGTGCTAAGACCTGCGTTTCTTAGTAAATATATTTAGCTGTCGTGGGACTTTAAGACAAAGTAGGCGAATTGTCAATAGTCTTAGGAATCTGATATTAAGCCTTCGTTTTTTTAAACAGTTCCATCAAAGACATGTCAAAACTATAAATCCTATCCCACGTGATGTGTAACCCTGTTGTTTCTTGTAACGAATTAGTCAGGATTAATCATGTGCATGTTTGTAACCTTTTCCAAAAGCCTGCTTAATGCTGAAACCTACTAATCCACACATCTTATGTGCACATCAAGCGCTCTGTGTGCTGTCTATAAATCTATCTAGCGTATGTACTAACTTAATCTTCATATAATATGATTGCATTTACGTTTTAATTAGCAGCGTCAGGCATTTGCTGTGTTGTCAGTGCTTTTAATAATTTAAGATATTGTGTACGTTGAGTTTTAAAAGAGTCATAAAAGAATGTACTAAATGTAAAAAAGGGATTTAAGCATACATTGTATTCCATGCTTATATATACTTAATATGTGTTGGGCTCTTATATCTTAAAATTACCATACATACACTAAACGTCTGCACGAATTATAGGCAATAAAATGTTATCATTAAATATATGGTCATGAAGACTGCGCCAAAATCATAAAAAGATTATGTATATGGCACAGATTATGCATTAATTTTATTGTTAAAAAGCTTGAATACCAGTACAGTGGAATATAATGTGAAATATTTTAAATCCACTTCGTTAAATGAATATTGGCCCTACGCATTTTACACGTTTTAAACAAGCTTCACACAGTTGTTTTAGGACAAATATGTTTGAAACTTGGCCAGACTTATGTTCTACATTTTAAAATAACTATTATCATTTGTACTACATCAATCACTACTAATACTTCTTCCAGTAGTATAACTACATGTACTACTAGCATATACTACTCTATTTATTGATGACATGCTAATTTTTAGCTTTTAAGGTAGCAATTAACAGGGGTAGCTATCTTCTAAACCGGCCAAGATATACCAACATGTTACATATCAATAGAAAGCTTATTTCAACAGCTTTTCATTTCATATCCTTATTTTATTATGTAATCGTTACGTAATGAGATATTATGCTAAATAGGTGTGCTCAACATGATCTTTACACCTTAAAAACTAGAAGTCCACTACAAATGGACATGTGTAGACAGCTTGCCTCGTGAGCCATCACTGGGATCAACAAGAATGCGCCTGAAATTAGCGATATGTGTTAAATTAGCAGAGATATCAAAATAAACCTGTTTTCCAGTTCAACGCAACCTCCTAGCCTAACTAAAGCACACGTAAGTTGAAAACAGAGCTGATGTTATGAAATCCCAGACACATTTTCAGACAAACCTTAGATCTAACGAATGAATGCCAGCTTTCATCGGTTGAGAGTTCTAATTAATTTTGACACTGGTTTAAATCGTTCTCTTGAAGCCCTAAACTGAAGCGGAGAAATCAGCCTTTTAGTGCTCCCCGGAGATTCCAACGTTATATAATCAGTGAGCTGCATTGGCAAGCTGAGAAGTTTAGTTATTTATACTGGTTCAGCCCTCTACACACTGCCTATGTAACTGTCACTATGTCTTTCATCCATTTTCAACATTATTATTGAACATTTTCAACCGGAGGCCCCCTCCATGCATTGACAGCAGCCACCATGTTAGTCGTGACGTCAGCCTACTTCACCACGTGAAACCTAGGGGGAGTGCCTTTGCCCATATGCGTCTCATCTATAGGTCTGCTTTTTAGAGCTTTAGTAGGTCGTCAGAATTAAGTTCACTGATAAATTCAAAATGAAAAGTATTGTTTGGCAAGTGAAAGTGGGACGTTACCCAAAGAATGTGAAAGGCTTAGCAGCAATCTAGTACGGGAAATATACAGCTGCACAGTGGAGCTGCCAATCAAACACATATATGGACAAGTGTGACCTACTTTAAAACTCAGACACGCTACCACAGGGGTAAATCAGCAATTAGGCTAAAATTACGGGTTTATTTGTAAACTTCCATTATTTTAAGATAGGCTGATATGTAGTTGATATTTCATCTATCTTATACTGACAAATTCAGAAAAACATCCACATTTTGGCCATTTACTGTTAATTGCATCCTTAATGTTGCTGTCCTTGTCCATTCCTTTCACAGATAACCTAAAAACTGGTAAAAGAAAACTTTTTTTAAAGAAAACAGCCAATACCTTTTCACCTTTTAACTCTTTGTGTATTTATTTATGTTGATATAGTATTATTTTTCTTCCCATTTCAGCGTATCAAAATGGTTCCCGGAGGTCTCCTTCTTTTCTGCGCAAGTTTGCTGGTCGCTATACCCTCAATATGTCAAGGTGTCTGTTCCATCAATTCTTACTGCTCAGACTGTGCCAATTATACTGAGGAAGGACAGACAAAATGGAGATTTTACTGTAACCCTTACGGATACCATATAGATCCTTCACACTTTACGGCTACCAACGATACGGTTGAATTATTTCAAGTCAAATATTTTTCATGGAGTTCGCCTACTATACGCAGTGGCGCTTTCCGAAATATCCCCAATACCGTACGTGTAGACATTTCGCGAGGCACCAATCTTTCTATAAATTCATTGGCTTTCTACTACGGTGTACATGTAAAGAATAGCCTTCAAATTTTGCTGTTTCGGAGCACCTACCTCAACGCAGTCCCCTCGGCCATAAGGTATCTAACGGCTTTACAAGAGTTGGACCTTGGAGGCAATAGAATAACTGGTGACCCATATAACTCTCTTAGTCACCTGACATCGCTCCGGTCGCTGTGGCTTGACAACAACCGCCTATTGAGTAGTATCCCAGCATCCTTGGAGCACCTACCTAATCTCCGGAAATTGTCACTCGCAAGCTGCTACCTAAACCAGAGTTCTGTTACGTCATTCGCCAAGCTTCCCAGATCGTTAGTGTGGCTGGACCTGTATGATAATTATCGCCTTTATGAAGTACCTTCGGGAATTGGCTTGCTTCGAAATTTGACCTATCTAAACATGAGATACTGTGGTCTGAATTCCCTGCCGGTCAATGTCTTCGCCAATTTGAACGAGTTGGAGATCCTAGATCTAAGTCAAAACCCCAGTATTACTATCTTGATAATCTTGTCAATCAAAAGTCGTTGAAAATTCTTAGACTTTCCTACATGGAATCTTCTTTAACAGACATACCTAATGCAATATCTGGCATGGGAAAGATGGAAGAACTTGACTTAAACAATAACAGAATACGAGGAGTAAATCAAATCCATTTTGCTAAAATGGTACAGTTAAGGAAGCTCAACCTGGCCAACAATAAAATATCTTCTCTTGATCCGCTGTCATTCCACTATTGTGACCAGCTGGAAGAACTGGACCTTAGTAATAACCTGATACGGGAAGTCAGCCCAATCCATTTTGTGGCACAGGTACTGTTGAGAAAGATCAATCTGAGTTACAATAGGATCCACTCCCTGGGTCCACGGTTGTTTCAAAATTGCAAAAACTTGAAGTATGTTGACTTTTCGAACAACCTTATCACCATAATGGATCAAAATGTATTTATCGGTCCGTCACAATCCCTGAGGTATGTCGACCTGCGCAATAATAAATGTGACACATTTCACAAGTGTATAGTTGCAAAACTACAGCATTTTGAAACATTCTACTTCTCCACCGAATTTTTTAATTGCGATTGCCGTCTAGCCTGGATCCGACAGCTCTCTTACCAATTCGGTTCCAGGATATCTGTCAGTGGGACTTGTTATCAACCAAGAGAGCTATACGGTCAGGGACTGTCTTCATATCCACTAGATGGTTGCACACTTGAAGACGAAAGTTTTGAAAGTTGCAACATTGTAACGACAACTCCACCGGATACAAAGACAGAACCCACCAGTAAACCTTTGAATCGTTCGTTCGTCAATTCGGCCCAAATATCCAGTCTCCAAAAGGACCTCAGCAACGTTCAAACTATCACAACTATGTCCGCATCTGTCGCCGTTGTTGCCGTCGTGGCATTCGTTGCTACTCTTGTCGTATTGCTGACATGCTTCTTCAAGCAACGAAACCGAGTGCCCATAAAGGGGAGGGTCCAGGGTCACGTCAATCAAGGTGTCAAGAGTGAAAGGTTACCTGAAGGTCAAAGTTCTGGAGATAGTCAGTATCAGAATACGGCTGGGACGGCCTGCAGTGCCCCCAGTGGCGCCTATGAACCTCTCAGAAAGGATGGGCGGGGTTTGAAACAACATGGAGGTCAATACGCCATTATTAATAAGTAAAATGTAGAAAATGTAACTTTTTAATCTTGTGCCTATATCTATGTCTGTGTAATCAATTTTTCCAGTTCAATTTGTTTTGAAGTTTAGTCAACAAAAGCTTTCCAGTACGTCTTTTTAATGTTTTCGTTAATTGATTACATTTTGATTGAATCAGATCATGTAGTGATGTGTTTATAAGGGTTTTGGTGCTTAAGTTCATATAGGGTCAGCCCTCTTAAAATCGATTGTATATCAATGTTATCAGATTATTGCTGCAGGTGCCAATGCTCACTAGTATTTTTTATGTAGAACAAGAACGTGCCCACTGCATGCGCACTAATCCCCCAATTGCTGTGGAGCATACGCTCTTGATAAAGGACAAATAATATCCCAATAGAATGCCAGTGCCTTCCTTCTAACACCCCTCTTTATATTGAATGGACAAAATTTAATTTGCTTCGTCAACATCAAAGAGTTAAACTGTTTCTATCTTCTGTTGAGATCTGTCACATAGTGTATGTGACTCTAAGTACCTATAGGTATTACTGTTGGACATAATAAGAGATTATTATGTCCAAGTATTAATCAAAGGATCCGCTGCACTTCCGTACCTTGAAATAATGTCATAGGTGAAGCCAGGTGTGTCGATGCTGTTCGAAATATTGTCACTGTGACATAGTGAAAAACGAATGCAGCTCTTATAGTTACAAGAATATATACAAAAATGTATTTTTGCCATACATTTCATAGGAGGTGAATTAACGCTGAAGAGAGCCGACATTTTAAGCCCTGCTTAGTGTATTTCACTTTTGTGAATGAAAAATTTGTGAATGTAAGCGAAAAATGTTGTCATGGTTTGGGACTGAGGCCTTACATGTTGTGGATGCAGGGGAACGGACCTATTTGAAAACCTCTACATGCTTGCTGCCCTTTTTGGACGTTTTGTTTGTAATCCATAAAGGTCAATTTTCTTTATGTTCATGTGTACCTTTGAGGCATCATTAGACGTGAAAAGGAGTATAAAGTGTATATTATGACTTTAATCCTAGAAATGAAATCATGTCGAATACACGAAAAAGGCCTTGATCTTTTAATTATAATTTTCTGAAAAGTTTCCATTGATCTAATGAAATATAAATATTTACACTCTGTGTTGCGTACTTGGATCTACCAACTATGTAGGTATTGAACTTAAAAAAAATATCAAAAACCGCAATACCTAAATTGTCGCTATTAAAATAAAAAATGATTACAGAATCTTAATACGCGTCGCATGCGCGACTTTATTTTGGACGTGACAGACCAAATGTTGTGTCTTTTGATAAACATTTATCCACCAGTGGACCTTGGTTGCTTGTAGTTATTTAAGTATGAGTGATATTTTACTGGACTCAATATACATGTATAGTGCACATCCACGTTTACAGTACATGCATGCACCAATTGGGTTAATTTTCAGACGCCCTCTTATATTCTGCACATATTCCAAATATTAACCCATATTGCCAGTTACTTTAGTACACCTTTAGACTTGTGTTATCTTAACAAAAACGGCTGCATAAAATTGTTTGTCTTGACATTTAAAATCAAGATCAACAGAGCAACCCAGCGATGTGCGGCATGTGTACAATGGAGCGTGTTATTCAATAAACGTACCGTAAAGGGATAATAACTCTTCGTATGAGATCTATATTCCACAATAAAAACAATGTGAACAACTCGTAGAAATATAATATATTCTGTTTTACCACAAAAACAGCAGTTGCAGATGTTATTCTGATATCTGAGCTTGTCTTCAGACCACGTGACCTCCATTGATGGCTATACTCTATTATAATCTCTTAAGAGATTCTAATAAAAAAACAAACTGTTTAGAAAAACAGGGACTAACTTTGAATGTAAAAATAGATTCATTAACCATTGGTAAGTATGGAACATTTGTTGTTTACTCCAGGAAAATTCATTTTTTTTGCCATTTTTATTATCCCTTTTAGCCTCGGTCACAATCGGACGCACGAATTTGAAAACCGTACATCCCCTATGGAATTTTGGTGCAGTAGAGGCCGTGGAGTTCGTAGAGGTAGAGGGAAAGTTTCAGTGGAAGTCTGCCTTGCGATTTGCAGGGGCTACATGAGATGTATTTTCAAACAGGGGCGCTAATTGAAAGATTCGATGGCCGTGGAAATTGTACTCATTTTATGCATTTGTTTTGCTACCCGCGCACGTGGAACGCACTCATTACTTACGAAAAGAATGCAACGCACGGCGAAAGTAGTTCCATTTTGCTTCACACTGTAGTGATACGCTTGTGATGCCGTGCTGACGGCTTACGTCAGTATATATTGTCTCCTGTTCTCCCCGGCTTTCTTCTTCCTTTGTTTTCTGTTCTCTAAGCTTCTTTCTCTTGGCTTTTGGAGGCATATTAAAAGCTGAATTGAGCAAATTCTATTTTTTTAAAAATTTGTTTAAATTGTACAAGTCGCACAATCGACGTTCATTGTTGAGACACGAACGTGCGTTGTTAGCACGCCTTTTATTACTCCAGACGTGTAGGTGACGCACGTTCTTTAGCTGTGAGGGCGTGCACCGTACTCAACACACAAAGGGCACTTGCTGCTTCATTGCTTGCGATGTGCGTCTTGGACCACGCACGTATCACTTGCGAACTTCTTGCTAAGGGAGCAAGTTACGCTTGCGGCTTTGCTGTTCGCAGACTATTCGCAGAATCTTTTGGACATGTCCAATATCTTCCGTGCGTGCTTATGGGCTGTCTGCGAACTCCAAGTTTGGCAAGAAGGACTTGCGTGGCACGTGAGATTCTGTGCAAAATTTGGATGCAAACAGGCCAGCATGTCTACAAAGATATCTGTCCCTAAAGCTTCTGGATGAATATCAAGCATTTTTTTATACATCAACATACAGACTTGACATTTAATATGGAATATTTCAGTCTCGAAGGTATACCTAGGNATATGGAGATCCAAAATATCTCTTTTAATAGGAGTCGTATGACATAGAATAGGCAACGTGTTTTTGTTTGCTTCTCTGGCGAATTCCATTAATGAACTGATGTCACAATGACATCAAAGAGGTAATTTAAAGTTATTAAAACACAATTTTAATCCTTATTTTTATTTATCAGTCAGCAAAATAGGAAAAAACTGATAAAAAATTATTTCGAAAAAAATATTCCATATTAAATGTCAAGTCTGTATTTGCAATACTGCCTTTTTAATTAGGTGTTATTTTCGTACGTTTCCAGCGTTTAAAATCTATTAAATGATTTTAATTAAAATAAACGTTCTACTGTTGTGTGCAGAATACATTCACATCTGGAGCCAATAATACCTGCATTGTGGTAAATCAACACAAACTGATTGTGAATTTTGATTAAATTAAAATGCTTTATCCATGGTTACAAAGATTGGAAGTATAGACATTCATGGCGCTGGACAAATAAATTTTATTTCTGGATGCACTGTAGTCAGTTTTTATAGAATAAAAATAAAAATAAAAATAATGAAAAACAAGGCGGAAGGAGAAAAGGGGCGTCCCCTATCGTCTCGATACCCTATCACCAAGCGCTTTCCAGGTAGACTGGTATGAATATTAGTGAACGCTTGACCTGACTTCTGTATATTGATTTAGCAACCTTTCTTACTATTTTGAAAAGAACGGCATGTTTAGCTTAAGAAATTCTCTAACTTTACGGGACAAAAATCTCTTTGTGCCAGAATCAATACAAAAGTGAGTCGTCTTAATAGAAAAGCTACGAAACTTCTTCCGAAATTCACATTTTGTGCGACATTACTACCTGGTTTAACTCAAAACTGGAGGCCTAAACTTATCAGGTAAGTCTATATTAACTTTTATCAGCTAAATTGTTAAAATTCAAAGAGGTTCGTTTCAGGCAAGTCGCAAAAATATGAAACGCACATCCGTTAAGGTTATAAAGCACCGTATAACCCATGCTGCAGGGGAAGGAAAACAGCTGTTTAAAAGGCACAGTTTATTCTTTGACTAATCTGGAGCTCTCCCCTCCCTCTCAAATAAATATGGGACAACAGGCGAAATGAGACAAAACACACAATTGACCATGATTCTGGTGATTTACTCATTATGGTTAAATTCATCTCATCTACTAGCTGTGACATATTTTCTTATTCTTGTTCCCTTCCCTTCCGCCACCCCCTCCCCCAGTGCCCCCCTTTAGCAAAATCCTGGACCCATCTATTCCTGGATATAAATGTGAAATGAGTAGTACGTGATAAGCCTTAAAGACGTAAAGCCTCGGTCACAACCGGACGCACGAATTTCAGGATCGTACGTCCCCTGCGGTTTTTGGTTGTTGCGAAGGCCGTGAAGGTCGTAGAGGTAAAGGAAAGTCTGCCAAGGGCCACATGAGATTTCCTTTCAAGCAGAGGCGCTAATTGCAAGGAACGATGGCCGTGGACATAACAGTCCCGTAACAGTCCCGTAACAGCCCGTACGGCCGGTTGTGACCGAGGCTTAACCTGTGCTTACTTCATTAACACATCTTGCAAACAAATTACCCCTGTAACATCTGAAAATGAAAAACACAGGTTTTGACAGATCTTAGTGTAAATGTTATGAGAATGTAATTTGTTTTTGGTAAACTAATGATTTCAACTATTTCACACTAATATAACGCAGCGGCTTATGAATAAACAACGCAGTCAGCTGCAGTATCAAGGTGAAATAATCCTTAACATATAACGTCAACAGCTGTGTTAGCCCTGAAATGTAAATAAAAAACAGCCTCGCTCCATATACGCTTTAACAATGGTTCTACTGTTCAATTCAGTAGTACAAAATAAGTGGGATTTTTATACAAAAGGTAGCTGGTTAAACACAAAAACTAGAGACATACGTCTATAGTTAAGGTGAGGGGGGACACGTATATTGCATGGGAAGGAAACCAGTCGTTTAAAAAACACAGTTGATAATACATGAGCACCAGCTCTCACTCCAAATTATACACAGAGTCAACGGGCGCATTGTTTTATTATTAGGACATAGTTTGCGGGGTTGATGTACAATTCAAAAGAGAAACCAAACCTTAAACCACAACAAAACGAGCAACAGATTGTATATCATGATTAAGGCACCCTGAGCTTCAGAGCTAACTTGACACTAACCTTTTCACTGTAGCCTATCTCCATCGTGTCAAGTAACCTCTGACGAAAATAGTTTGACCTAGTTTATATAAGCCAATCGAATCCATGTTTCAAAATTTTTCACCAAAGTTTGGTGAAAACGCTGATTGGTTGATCGTCAATCGGCAATCCTCGGCTGATTCCGCAAGCTCCATACTAACAATATAGTTATTGTCGAGTGCGGAGACAACCGAGTAGTTCCGAGTGCATAACCGTACACAAAGAAAGCATGGAGTATATCGGAATTGAAACCAGAGGAGTATGATGCCCTGCATCATTATCTACTGAGGGATGATTTATTTTGCGTGCTGCCCACAGGTTACGGCAAGTCCCTGATATTCAGCCTTATCTTTGATTGGTCCGGATTTGAACAAAGCGCGCTTTGACTCGTTCGCGTTCATTGGCTAGATCGTTCAATGAGTCATTGAGTGCGGGCTTTAAATTTGATTGGCGGGCGGCGGGGGCACTCGAATCTGGTCAGAGGTTACTTGACACGATGGAGATAGGCTACAGTGAAAAGGTTAGTGTCAAGTTAGCTCTGAAGCTCAGGGTGGATTAAGGGGGTAGGGGTAAATTTTGATGTGTAGGTGTCCACCCTGAAGCCTAGGTACCTATTGTTTCATACCAAAAGAAACATCAAAACTCAATTTTTTTTATGTATCAAACAAACCATTCCGATGAATTATATTCAGTGTGTGGCGTAAATATGGATATGCCCTAAACGATTTTGAGCAAATTGGAATTTTTTTTTTCATGATTTTTTTTTGATGCTATAGTTAAACTGGTTTTATTTTGATATTTTTGGATTAAAATATAAAGGAATATATTTTTGTATGGTTTTGGTACATTAAGAGGGGCAAATACCACGGAAAGCATGCAAAGAATGCTAAAACAAGTGATTTTCAGATATGATAGTATTTATAGGGTATGCACAGGGAGGTTAGGCGGGGTTAAAATTCTTTAAAAAATACTCCTTTGTCTTTTAGGCCCATTACACAATTTCAGGGGTAGAACAAAAAAGATTGTATTATCACTTCCTCCCCCACTCCCCATCATAAGTCCAAGTAGTACATTTTTACGTATAGCGTTATATCAGAAAAGAATTTTTGTATCAGGCCCGTAGCCAAGGGGGCTTGGGAGGTTCTTAAGAGCCCCCCCCCCCCACACACACACACCACCACACACACACACACACACACACACACCTTTTTTTTCTTTTTTTTTTTTTTGCCTTTTTACCCTCTCGGTAAATTTTTATCTTGGTACGCAAGGGTTTCATGTTAAAAAGTCAATTTCTTTAGAAAAAGAACCCTCCACCCTTGTGAAATTACTGCCTACGGACCTGTCAGTGGTGGAAATAAGTCAGGTACTTAAGTATTCACCTGAGTAATAATATTAATATGGAACCATAATTACTGACAGAAGACCACGGAGCATGGGGATTTAACTGATGTGCATGCCAAGTCACCTAGCTAACTGAAAGGCGAACATATTAAACAGTTTTAATCGGGCTTTAGTATAAGTTACATAAAAATTACCACTTAAACATCCTCAGGAATCTTAAATAAACAAGATCTAGATCTCTTGAGGTGGCGGTGCTATATGGAAAAAAATCGCTACATTTCATCTGTGAAATATGCTTAATTTAAATTATTTTCCGCGCTACGGAAAAATGCAGTACTTGGACTTTGGATGAGGGAGGAGGGGAGTGATAATACCGACTTTTTGTTATATCCACTTGAAATTATGTAATGAGTCTAAAAACACATAGCATTTTTTAAATATTTTGTCATGCCTTGTTTCTACGTTTAGAGTGTGGCGTTCAATTAGAAATCGGTATTATTTTAAGATTATTGGGTGTATGAAATTAATTTTTTTTTTTTGCATAATTGCATGCTAAAACAAGTCCAAAACTGTCATTGCCTTTTTTTTTTTTTTTTTTTTTTTTTTTTTTTTTTTTTTTTTTTTTTTTT